ACTGTCTACATTCTTTGTGTGGCTTTCATACACATAACACATCCTCCTTCCTTTTCTAATCCCCTGTCCTTTCCCTCCCTCCCTCTTCTCTCCTCTCTCCAAGTTTGTTACAGGTTCTACCACACAAGTAATTTATGGCATCAGCCTGTAACTCCCCCAGCCCGTACCTTGTCCTTTCACTATCTTTCAGACAGGTTTCAAAATGGAAGAAAATTTAAATTGTGATAGGATCCAATTTGTCAAGTCTTCCTTTTATGGGTCATGACTTTTTGGTTAAGTCTAAAGATTCTTGCTACCCATAAATTTTGAATTGCTTTTCCATTTTATTTAAAAATGTGAATCAGGCCAGGGATTTAGCTCAGCAGCACAAGAGCTTGTCTGGCAAGCAAGAGGTCATGAGTTTGAGCCTACCAAAAAAGAAAGTGAATCAACAATTGTCTCTAAATAAATTCAATTAAAAAATATGTTTCAGGATAATGGAAACTTTTTTGAGCTAAAGGTGATGATTGCACATTATTATGATTAATCAAATATCAGTAAATTTTATATATACATATAGTTTTATTGAAGGCAAGACAAAAATAGGTTCTACAGAATGAATTTAGGCTAAATAAGAGGGAAAAAAAGTACATACTATAGTGTGAGGGCAGGCCACCATGCAAGAGAGAATAGTGGCCTAAATTGCATATTTTTATTAGGTTAATTTTATGTTGTAAATCTCATCTGAACCAAGGAGTGAAGAAAAATGATATCCAATTGATGGTTTCATTTTGTTTTTTGAGACGGGGTTTTGCTCTGCAGTTCAGGCTGGCCTTGAACTCACAGTGGTTCTCCTGTCTCAGGCTCCTAAGTGCTGGAATAACAGGCATGCACCACCACACCCGGCCCAATCCATGTTTTATACAACTCACATAGGTTTTTCTAAGATTGTGTATTTCATCCTCTAGCCTATTCTTTTTTCAGTATTAGCTTCCAGTTTCCAGATCACTTACTGATAAAGTTAGGTGATTTTCTAATGTCTTGCCTTTGGGTAAATATTTTTTAACAGTGAGGTAACACATGGGCAGTCAGAGCGACAGCAGTTCTTGGTAGATGATATTATTGGCCAATTAATCCCTGTATGTCCTTAGTCATTCTTTGACCATTATTTATATCTTCACTTGTCTTCAGCCCTCCAAATTAAAGTGCCCTTAACAGAACACTCTATTATATCATGTGGTGATTACAGCCTTTTCCTCAGAGCACATCACTCTGGAATAATGTATCACTTGTCTGGCAAGGAGTCCACAGGCTTCTCCTTAGGGAGATCAGCATAGTGAGTCAAAGGCAGGGAGTCAACGAGTCCATGACTTGCTGAATTTCCACATAATCTTGTAGAAACTTCTGTGTATTCACTTTAGTTAACAATGAAATGGCCCCTGTATAATTTACTTTACAGTAGATTTGTAAAACTTCTGAGCTAAAAAGAAAAAAAAAAAAATCATGGATCTGGCTTAGGTGAGAAAAACCTGCTGAGACTTGGGAGGTTTATACCAAGACTTGTCCTAAAGGAGTCAATGTGAAGTTTCTATCACTGCATTTAAATGGCCAATTGATGCAAGCTGGGGAATTCTACACTTTATGTCTTTTAAATATCTTTCATGAATGAAAAAATAACTCTTTTCCACTTTCAGTGTGTGGGCTGCCAAAGCGAGCACGAGAACTCTTTTCACTTTCAGCTCATGACATCCTGGTCTCGGCCATCAGCGATTGCAACGTTAGCTTAGGAATCATGGCAAACTAGAGCTGCATGTAGACAAAATAAAATTCTCTCTAGTTCAGCAGTCCTCAATGTTTTTGACACCATCGGCCAGACTCATGGGAAGGTCCACAAACGGTGTCTTAGTAACTCTTTCGTTACTGAGACAGAATTCCTAATCTCCATGAGTTAAAGGAAGACAGGTGTATTTCAGCTCACAGTTTGTAGAGGTTTCAGGCCATAGTCTGCTGGTCCCAGGCCATGGCAACATGGCACAGAAGCAGAGTCCATGAGACAGCAGGTAGGCAGCAGCAGCAGCAAGCTGCCTTTTCCCTTTTATTCCATCTAGATTATAAACCTTTAGAATGGTACCATCCTCACCAAGGCTGGGCCTTCCCATTAGCCACTCCTAAAACTACACTAAACCTACTTAGTTACCACACATCCTTATACCTCACATCACACATTTTAGACCCAGCCATCTCTGAAAAATACCTATGAACACATGAGTTTGAGAGGACATCTAGATACAAGTCAGATACAAGTTGGGGGAGCTGTTTCAGGATTACATTTATGTAAAGAGTACCTAATCTAGATTCCCCACATGCACAGTTGACAGTAGGGTTCATGCTCCTATCTGCCAGGTGCAGAGCTCAGCGGGTAATGTGAGCCTTGAGGAACAGCTATGAACACAAAGGAAGCCTCACTGACATACCCACTGTTTGCTTCCTGTGGTGTAGCCTGGTTCTTAGGTCATAGACTGGTACTGGTCCAGGGCTTTGAGGGGTTGAGGGCCTACTTTGACATGTCATCCTATTACAAGATTCAAGAGACTAGAAAAGAGCAGAGATATCTGCATTCCTCATTGGAATAACCTCTTCCTGGCCATTCTGACCTGAACAGAATGAATGGTGACAGAATAAAGATCACAATATCACAACTTGCTTTCAATTGTAGTTCATTGTTAATGTTCATTTACTTGTCATGTTTTCCTTTAATCCCAAATGGCATCACATTCAGAGATTCTACCATCTCCCATGCATATATTTACTATTTTTTTCTTCTACATTATGCAGTTTCTAAAAGTTTTCCCACATTGTGCTCTGATGAACATTTGTATTCTGGAAATACAATAACAAGCCTTCAATGAAATACATCTTGCCTTCTAGTGAGTATGAGAAACACAGCGTATCACCTCTATCCTCCTGTCACACTTGTAACTATTACATTAGAAGACTGGGGAGGGGGTCCCATAATAAACCTATTTGTTTTTCTTTATTTTTACCACATAATACTTGCATGGTGTGTGTGTGTGTGTGTGTGTGTGTGTGTGTGTGTGTGTGTGTGTGTGTGTTGGGATCTTACAGCATCTGTAAAACACAGATGTTAGGCAAGGTGTTCTTTTGTTTTGAGACAGGGTCTCACAATGTAGCTCAGGCAGCCCTTGAACTCACTATGTAGCCAGGACTACTATGTAGCCCAGTCCTCCTGCTTCAGCCTCCTGAGTGCTGGGATTACAGGTAGGTGTCCCCAGGTCTGGCTTGGCAAGCTATTCTAAATATGCTTTCAGATTCTGTTTTTATTCTAATAATTGAGTTAAACCTACCATCTTAGAGTATACCAGCAATCTCCAAAAAGCAAGATCCAGTTGTTGATTTTCACTTCCCCTACTTAGTATTAATTTTGACATTTCCGAGCCAGACTTCAAATCAACAACACTGTCATGGTTTATGTCAGTGGCCCCCAAGCCTCATGCAATTATTGACTCAACCACACCTAGCATGACTGGTTTGTTGATTGGTTTGTTGTCTAGCATTTGGATTGGTTTGTTGTCTACCACTTGGATTGGTGGTATGAGTGCCACACCCAACTAGGGGTGGAGCCAGGATAGGATGTAAGTGTGGGAAGAAGGGGTCTCTCTTTCCAGTTCGTGCCTTGCTGTTTGCAGTGGCCATGAATGCCTGTCCCGCCATGCCATGCTGCCTTGGAGTCAACTGAGCATGGACTGAAACCTCCAAGAACTTTAGAAATAAACTTCTCCTTCCCTAATTTTGGCCATCAGGTACTTTGTCTCAGTTATGAGCAAAAAGTAATTAAGACAAACATACACATATTCTTCTAATTCTCTACTTGGAATTCATGATTTTTTAAATCACTGCCACCAAGTATTCATCTCTTTTCTTATGCTTACAATGTCCACTTTCCTGACTTTTTAGCCTGGCATCCAGAGCCCCAAATCATGCAGACCACATCTAACTTACCATACTGCTCTTTCTAACCACATTCACAGCTCTACATCCTCTGCACAGATAAACCTACCCACACACCACTTTACATACCTGGTTCACTTTTTATTTATTACGGTATTTTCATGTTCATCTTGTTAAGGTTAAAAAGAATGCTTTTTGTTTTGCTTAATCTTACTCATGCTGAAAACTGACTACCTTTGCTGACCTAGTATTTTCTGATGATTTTGCATTTTTAAAATATATTTCCCCCTTAGACTGTATATTCCGTAAGGACAATAGTCATGCATGTATTTTTAGTTATAAAATACCCAGCTTAGCTCAGTAGCTGATATTCTATAAATGTCCAATACATTCATGTTTGATTAAATCTAAATTCTTTTGAGTTTCTGTAGTGTATTCTTTTCCTGGCTTTATCTCGTTTGGTGTTAGTACGTGTTATCTCAGGTTGGTAGCTACCATTCTTGCACTTCATGAATCACCTTAAACATGACAAGTTCTTTAACCTTACATTTTGGGAATCACATGCATTTGTAATACACTCTGAAACTGGAGAGTGGCTCTTACGTAAGTACTGAATAAGCCTTGAAGGATCCACTAATTATTGCACAGACTAATACAAGTCTCTCTCCCGTGCAGTTTTCCTGTGTTGGCCCCAGATTAAGCTTCTGTTTTCTGTTTCCTCCTTAGCAGTAAACATGTCTCCAGTTCATATTTGTAGATTTGTTTCACACATGTATTGAGTTTGTGAAATTTTTACTAGTATATATCAGATATACATAATCACATTCATTTTGGGGAACTGGTAACACACACACACACACACACACACACACACACACACACTCATATATATTGTGTTGATCATTTTTATTCCCTCTCCCTCCTTCTCCACATTCACTTCCCATCTTCACAAAGCCCTCAAGGGTGAAAAATCTGTGTTTCATGGTTTCTGTCTTTCCAACAGCTAAGACTGTAAGAGAAATTAGTTAAATATAAATGTAAAGAAACCAAACTGGCCACACTACAATTTATTTTATTATTAACACTTATGATACAATGTTATTACTCTAATTTTTTATGCAGACAAAAATGAATGATATAAAATACATAATTCAGTTTGATAATTTTAACCACACACAAAATATGGAGTGATTGAAACTATGTCACATAGATATTTTACAAAAGAAAAAAGACTAATATCACATTCAGATGAAATTTAATATTAAATTGTGGATGTCAAATTATGTTAAATATAGATTATGTTCAAAACAATTACCATTTAAAGAACCAATTTCATACTCTGCTGTTTAAAATAATGAATATTGAGTACATGAGTACTTATAAAAATATTCTTAAGCAAAAAGCTATGTTCTAACATTTACCTCTCAGTTACAAAAATATATATTCATCTGGAGAACTAATAAATTTTCTTGAAGCATTAGACATTCAAATTCAAATGTATGTTTTCTAAAATGTTTCACCAACTCAGTATACATGTACACAGTATTAGAATAGGTTCATGTTACAAGTAATAGCATTTTAAATAAAAGATACAAGTAATCAATAACACATAAAACATGGCAAATTTTTGATCCAAACATAGTCAACATTTCACCAGATTTCCAGCTGTGCCTTGTGAAAAGTGAATTCTGGGAAGCATTTGTTGAATGAATACAAAGCATTTGCTTTTTCTTTTATTCTAAAATTAACTATTAAAAGCTTCTAATCCTATTAATATAATTTAAGACTTTTTTTTCTTAATCATCTACTTTTGGTGTCAAAGCCAGATCAACTGATTTAGATTGAATAGTGCTACAGCTTGGATGCTGAATGCCCCCTAAAGTCCAGTGAGAGGGCCTCAGGTCATCTGGGGTGTACTCTTGACCCTGTGTGCCCTGGCCCTTCTCTCTCTCTCTCTCTCTCTCTCTCTCTCTCTCTCTCTCTCTCTCTCTCTCTCTCTCTCTCTCTCTCCTCTTGCTTCTTGACCACGAAGTGAGCAGTTTTGCTCTGTCCTGTGCTCCCCAGCCATAATGCACCACTCTGGCACAGTCCTAACTGCTCACAGGCTAGAACCTCCAAAACTGTGAGCCAAATCCAAGTCTTTTCTTTCACACATACCTGGTAATCTCAGGTATTTGTTACAGTGATAGAAAATCGGCCAGCACTAAGAGTAAGCCAGTGATCAAAAGATGTTTAACAGTACTACGCAGACAGCGCTGATGTCTACAGAGCAAACACTGAACAATTCCATCTTTTATCTCTTCATACTGAACAAGACACAAGAATTTAAGTAATTTTAAAAATGTATTATCATAAAAGACAAGCAGACACTGACATACAATGATATAACTGTTTTACTCTATTTAGTAGACTTCAGAAATCTCTGTTGAGTGAGACACACAAACTGTCCTGAGCGAAGAGGGCCTGCTAACAAGTTAACAACTGCTAAACGATGCACAGGCCTTCTTTCCTCATGAGCCAATAGACGTTTGGCAGTATAATACTGAGATCACTCTTCATGGAAAATCTCTAAGGCAGTAACATCCTTCTGAAACCAGAAACTAATCATAGTGACTATTATGGAATTGCAGCACCTAGGAAAATGGTGGCCAATATCCCTGCAAGGAATACCCTGGGGTCATTCATGGCATAGATCCATCTTAAAACTTTCCCTTACCTTTCTAAGAGTAAAGTGTGCTGGGACTCATTGCCCCAATTTCAAATGCTTAATACACCATGGAACATTCTGCTTAACAGAAACTCGGTTCTCCTAAACTATTTCAAAATCTTTTGCCCTCGTATTTAAGCAGCATAACTGACCAGTCTGAAAAATTTGTTTACATATATGTTAATAAAATTATTACTGACTACAGAATACTTTATTAAAGGACAATTTAATGAGTTAATTCACATAAAGTCAGTCAGTAAAAATAAAGTTTCCAAAGATTGAGAAGCAATCCAGTCAAATGTTACAGGTTAGTCAGTATTATTTTTTTTAGCTATGAAGAGCAGAAAGTCTGCAAATTACCTTTAAAGTAAAACATAAAGTTGGAATGACTTGAATAAAGGCTATTCTTTTTAAATTTTCATATCACAATTTTATTAAAATACTTGTGAATAAAAATATGCCTACTATTTTGCATTACATTTTGCTACACAGAAAAAAGACTTTTTAAACTAATAAGATAGTATTTTGAATGAATGTATCAGTTTTAACTACATGGAATAATTTACTTTTAATCAACGCTTCTAAATGAATAAATACTAGCTTACTAACTTTTTCTGGAAGGACTGAAAATTGATTTTAAAAATTAGTTAATATGGCCTTTAGGATTGGTTTACTTATTTATTTTCTTGGCTTGCATACTTAATATTAAAGTCAACTTTATTTCACTATGAATTAAATGATTACACAATTGGAATTCACAGAATCATAACCAATGTCACATACTTTTTAGTCTTAATTCAATATTAGTCTTAATTTAATATTAGTACCATCAATGGACACAAAGGAAATTTGAGTCACTGGAACAAGGAACTTTAAAGACATACAAATAATCTGAGGCTTCAGATTAGGATATTGGTTTATAAAATACAGATTGAACACTAAATTCAATATTACATATCCAATATCAGAAAGACTAGTATAGGAATAATTTTCTCTCTCATTCTGTCTTTCATTCTCTTTCATAATAATTAATGTAAATTTCTAGTTTCAATTTTGTATTTTAAAATTATATATTTGAAATTTATATAAATTATGAATTATAGAAAAGTATATACTTAAAATTAATATTAGGAACATGTAAAGATATTATGGAATGTTGAGGATATATTGGCTATGAATTATGACATTGATTTTTTTAGTGTTCTCATGTTCAGATCTAAAATTTCAATGTAAGACCTGCAATTTATTTAAACAGGGGCAGATGTCCAAACTCAGGACCTGATGAACAGTTAGCAGACTTCAGCAGCATCAGAAGGAACACTAGTTATAAAGAAGCTTGTAGCATTTAGGTAACCATAGTCTAAAGAGTCAAATCCAGTTAAGCATTCAAAGCCACATGGATACAAATTATGGTATTAAAATTCTGTCATCACTCACTGACCCATTAGATATTTTTACTATTACCACTGTTTTACAATTGTAGTCAAGTTTTAACTGATGTACTATTCCACACTTTCAATATCTATCTAAAAGTGTTATCTGTAATTATGAGAAATATGACATAAAATATTTTTTAGGTTAGAGCTGTACTGGGTTATTTCAAAATGTATACACAGAATGTTAAAATTTCCAGGAAATCTTACAGTTTTTATATATTATAGGCATACTATATATTTCCATTTGTTTTTATAAACACAAAATGTATAATTAAGTGGCATTGCATGCATTCTAACTTCAAGTTTAATAAAATAATTGATTCTATTAAATAGTTATATTACTAAAATGTTAATGATATTATATTAAGGAGGCAAAATTTTGGGTTTTAAATTTTGATCTTGGTACTTGTTAGTCATATGAACTTGTTTAAGTCACTGGGCCATTCTTTGTGGGTAATAAAATCTATTATGAAGATATATGAAAGAGTAACAACAAAAGATGAGCAAGACAACCAGAGGTTATGAACAGTATTTAACATACTTCGCTTCAAATCATGAGCAGCCATGTTCTACACAGTGATGTGGTCAACAGTGAATAGCATGTAAGAGTAGCCCCATAATTTAGATAACTGAATGACATTGTCTTAGCTTGTGTAAGTGAACTATAAAATGTTTGCACAAAAATTTGCCTAACAACACATTTATTAGAAATTACTTGTCCTTGTGGATCTTCATAGTTAAGTAAAGCATGGTTTTAATTATTAAAGTCTTTTAAGTCTTTAGAAAATTATTAATTTAAAATCAATGTTACTGTATCCACAATTAAATCAATATAGTGTGATCAACAGTACACATATTTAGAATGAAGATAGAATATACCCTACGGCCATAAATTACCAAGGTTTGTAATGGTTCTTTTAAAGTACAATAAATAAAGCTTTATTTTTCTTATACATATACCTTGATTAAAAAATACTCACTATGGTAGTTTAGAGTCTGACATCTCACAGGAAAGGCTGCCTAACATTAAGAATTTAGGTACCTTTCTAGGTTAAAGTTTTAAACAGATTCATCTTTTCTTTCCTCACTCACTCCGCTTCCTTTTATCTTCCCAGTCTCTACTGCTTTCTGTCCAGGACCACCAAGGCTACAGCACCCAGTATGTGCAGCCTTGGGGAACACGTCCACTGCAAATACCAGAGACGGAGCCAACGCACTGGGACAGTCCGTGGTCCTGAGTACACCAGAAAGCAGCAGAAAAAGTCTTGCTGGAGGTCTCAATATTTCTTCTCTCCTGTGAAGCAGAAAAAGTGAAGCATATTCCTCCACCTCTAAGCATGTGCTTTTCTCTGATGCAAGTGGAGGACAACACACCTGTATCACCGGGCCTAAAGTGTCTTTAACATTTCTGCACCATGATTTGTGTGGCCATCTTTCCTCAGTGATTGACTTCTTCAAGCAAAACCATCCACTGTTACAATGTGTCCAAAACCAATAAAATTAGTAATGAAAGAGGATGCATGGTGGTTATTTTTATCTCTGATATCTTTCCTATAAATTCCAGAGATGAATTTTGCCCTATAGATATAGAGAGGGATCAGTTTTTGGGGGTGAATTTTTTGAATGAACATTTAATGCATACATGTCCAAGTACAAACTGAACATTAGTTATTTACAATATGGCAGGGAAAGCATTACTTCATCTTCAGTGGGAAATGGTGACCTGGCATGTACTTTCTCTAGGCCAGTGTTAAGAAGCTGCTGCTTGCCTGGTTCCTTGGCAATCCTCTTCATTCTTCTCCAGCTGGGGGAGGTGGCTCACAGAGCTTGTATAGCCTAGAAAAGACACAGGAAAGTTTGATTGCTATGCAGAGGTCTGCTCTGATCTGAGAAGCTTTTGTTGGTAGAACAACCACAAAGATAATAATTTCTTAGTTCCATAAATCATGATGACATTGTTTATTTCACTAAAAACACTATGTGAATGAGCAAACTCTAAAATTTTAGACCTCTGATTTAGAAAACGTCCTGTTTCTTTGTATCTCTGGATGGTGACTGATTAAACAATGTTGCATGTTAAAAGCCCTGTTTCTCTCCATTACAGCCCAAGTAAAATCTATTCTCTGAATTCTCCCCTTTTCTGTGTGAAGAATGAAACCCAATTCAGGCAAGCAAGCCAAGTGCTCCATCTCTGAGCCACACCCTTAAACACCTTTTTAAAGAAGCAATCAAAAATGCAAGGCTAGCTGACTTCCTTTTACAGATTAAATTGAACCTAGCTTAAATGAGTTGTTAACCAATTTAGAGAATTATAACCTTCCTCTCCTTTTGACATTTAATCACATGCTAATTCTAAATCAATGGGGGAAGAATGAAAATGATTTAATATTGAGTTGTAAATCTGGTTAACGAATGAACTTTCTTTGTCTGGAAACACATAAATTATTATTGCTGAAGGTTTACAAAATGTACTTCAAGTCTGGAACATGGTTTATGTTTTATATTAGCTCCATAGAAGAGGTGAATACTGAACTAACAACATGTCACATCAAAAAAGTTTATCTCACAGAGAAAAGAATATATGAAGTTAAGCTGATGCACTTGGAAGAAAGCTTTGTAGTTGAAAGATACATACTGCTTCAAGGTGCATTCCCCTGGTTGGAATAATATAATGATCAGAAATTTTTTCCTTTTAATTTTCCACCTCTTATTTTGCTGACAGTGATGCCTAATGAGTGAAATGGCACAATGGCCTTAGACAGTTCAGCAATGAGAATAAATGGTGAGCATCTGAGCAGTGAGCTCTGGGCTGAGCCATCACATGCTATTACCTTGCTCGGTATGTTCCGCAGAATGTAACTAATGCCACCAGTAGATGAGACTTTGAAATGCTTGCCTTACAAACCGGAACAAAGGCTATTCCCTGTGATCATCTAATGAAATAACAACTCTGGGAACAGCAGATCTGGGCAGCTTCTGCTGTTGTGAGGCTTCTTGGAAGACACTCTGGGTTATGTGAGTTCAGACACATTTGTAATGGAAATTGTGGAGCGTTGGGAATTTAGAGCAGGCAGATGAAGTTGGAAAATCAAAGGGAACAGGTAAAGAGCTGGACTCAGACTCTGCACTGAGGCATTTTTATTTTGGCAGCTAAAGTGGTGGGCAGTAGGAGGCCTTTTTTGCCCAACCTTTGGGGCCAGATACTCATGCACACCAGTGATCCTCCCTGAACAAGGTTTATTCTTGGCTTCTTTGTTTCCTATTCCTGTTTGTGCTCAGGCAGTCATTGTGGCGCTGGTATTTTAGCTCAGATCCAAGTCTGCAGAGAACAGATCTATCGAATTCATGCTACAGGCATATCCTTTATCTTTTACGCAGCAAAAATACAGGATGTGTTAAGACAGCCCACAAAGCAAATGTCTCTTTGAAGGTTCAAGTATCAATGATACTGTCGCAAAGGGATTCTCCCCATCCTACAGATAAATAAAACTGAGTCTCACAGAGGAAAAGAAAATACACCTGACTGAATAAGGTCACATAAGAGCTTAGACTCGGAGTTCTAACCAGTTTTTTTTTCCCTTAACCACTGTAGTATGCTGCTTCTCAATTAAACAAATAAAAAAAATCAAACTTTAATAGCATTACAGTTGCAAATTTTGTATAATAACAGAAAATAAGGCCAAAGTGCTGCACTTATAATTCACTGTCCTGTATGTAATATTTTAACTCTTGATGAAGACATGTGTAGGGTCTCTCAGAACCAACACACAGGTGGGAATCAGAAGACAAGAAGGACCGGCTTCTGCCCCAGCTCCTGCCATTCTGTCACAGCACACATTTCCTGATGGCCCACATTTATTTTGTCCTCCTATTCTATTAGGTGGAAGCGCTGTGAACATACGACATATGTGTCATCCACCTTGAGATAGCAATGCCAAAAGCAGTTCTGACACGTATTGTAGAAACCGATTGCTAAACTGTGGCAGAGTCAAGGATGTCCAGCAAACCCGTCACCCAGAACCAATCTGTCTCAGAATCACTGAAGTTCAATATTCTGTTCTCCAGCATTCTGATTCCCTAAATTATCGTATTCACTCTTTCTGGGGTGTAACGCTGGCCACTTCGTCCCTTTGGAATTCAAGTATAATTATCTATTCCTCTCCTTTACTTTCTCTGGTACATTGTCATTCTATAAATCTATTCCTCTGGTTTCTCTTCACTGTTGGTGGTTCCCCTTTTTTTTTTTTTTTTTTTTTTTTTTTTTTGTATCTCTTGCGCACATACTTAATGGTGACAAAATTCTTCTAGGTCTTCACTGAGCCCTGAATGTGTTTCAAGACTATGGCTCTACCTAAACTTCTCAACTTCAAACCAGTGAACTGCACTGCCCTCAAAGGCATCTACAATAGACATCCTCGAATCCTCAGTCTTAATCCAAGCTGAGGTCATCAGTCTTACCCAAATGCACCCCTCCCCCCAGGATCCACTATCTCAGGGGAAATTATCATTAATCCCTTGTTATTTAAGCCAAAGATTTTGCAGTCATCCTAAAATACTCCTTTTCCCCAACTCTTTCCATTTAATTAGTATCCAGAGACTATTAGTTCTGTCTTCTGAGTATCTCTCTAGTGCACTTCCTCATCTTGGTTCTCAATACCACCATAAGCTCTTTTCAAGTCCCTTTCTTCAATCTTAACTTCTGTCCTCAAATGGACCCTCTAATGTAGCTGAAGAATTTCCTACAATTCAAGTATTACAGAGATTAGTGAAGTCTCTTTATTGTCTTCTAGTTACCATGACAACTCTTGAGGATCCCCTATAAATCTCTTCCTGACCTTGTTCCTATCTACACTTTTAGCTTCACTATGCCTTGCTCTTAAATCACATTGAACCCCAGTCACTGAAGTTGAATTCTCAGAGTGCAATTTGTGCTTTGACACCATGTGTCAATATATCTGCTGTATGGCACAAGATCACCATGCTGACAGGACCACAGTATTTTGTGACCTCCCTTCTCCATGGTTAGAATGTGTCACGTACTTTCTCTGTGTTCTCCTGACAGTTTGTATTTATTTCTAGACTTCTGTAAGTGTAACTTCAAGAAACATTAATTATACCAGCTTCACCCACAGATGGCCTGTTCTTGAGAGCCACATATGACCTTCAGCTGCAGTCTTTGGGGCAGGCATGGTGGGTATGCTCCTTGGGGTTACTATCTCCGGCTTCCACAGACTGCATCGGACCCTCTATCTTTTCTTATGTAGTGTTTTCCTCATTTCTCTTTAACTGAAAGTTCCTTGAGGGCCAGGGATACTTTTGTCTCAGGTTCACATTCTTGCTGGGGCACACATTTAGTGTGTTATTACATTTTTCAAATATTTGTAGAATGAAGAAAAGAATAAATAAAATTTTTAAATTTCTCTTGATTTCTGTCTTGGCATTATTACTCTCTTGGAAAAGTGTCACTTTTATAGCTGGTTCATTTTATTGTCTTTTATTTCAAGTACTTTATACATAACCCAATAAAGAAAAAAGTGAGCTCATCAGTTTTTTTCCTTGTGTACAGCTTGCATAATGGTTTATCGATCAGCATGCTAAGAACTCATCCCAATCCACTATTTATTAGTGTTTATAAGCTCTAGCTAAAAACGCCTCGCAGAACTGTTATCTTGTTTTCTTATTGGAATTTTAACGCTTCAGTAGATCTTTTATAAAAATATACCATGTTTGCTCAAGGCACTGGAAAGAGAACGCTTATGTGAAGTTATTCTTTAGCAAAAGTCTTAGGTTCTAATCTAATCAGCTCTGAAAGATAACATTAACAAGACTAGAAGATTACACAGAGTTAGGAGTCAGCACTAAAAATAAATGCAGCAAGCACATGAGTGTTCCATCCATTTTCAGAGGGAAAATATGTTTTCCTTTTTGAAAGCACTTTCACTGCCCACGCAGTTTTTCAGAATGAAATATAACTTCATAAACGCTGCAGTCATCATTCTCACCCTGGTAATGGCGTTGTAAATAGAAACAAATACAGTGTCGTGTCTGAGACAGTGCTTGGAAGAGCCTGCTTTTGGTTAATGCAAATGTATAAAAGCAATCAAACGCAACAGAAATTATTTAGCTTTGACCCATTTTAAGCTAGATGGCTGCCTACCTTAATCACCAAAGAAATCAAACTGAAAATGTTTCTCTATGCCTGTTAACTATATTCATTTATTTTAAAGGTGGATCAAAGTCCTTTCTTTCTTATGATGAAGCGTGAACTGTGAATATTTGGCATAACAAAAAGCTCATTCACTGATTTATTAAGACACATATTCTTAAAAGCAGTTTAAATATTTGATGTCTACTACGTAGGCACCATAATGTAAGCAATAAATAAAACACAAAATACATCCTCAGGCTTCTGAATACTCATATGCAGATTGGGCCAAGAAATATGTTAAGAAATAGTACAACACGACATAGTGAGGGCTATTATAATGCAACATACATGCATGCTAAAGGACCCCAGAAAGGAATAAACTCAAACAAGATTCCAGGCAGAAAATGAGCCGGGTTTTGTGTATTAAGTGGTTTTCCATATAGGCTCAGATGGGAGAGGCAATCACAGCAGAGGAAAGAACACATGTAAATACGGAAGGATAAATGGAAATGCCATTTTGGCAGTTTCACAATATATTCAAAGTATACTTGTACCCAGGTGGATTTCCAATTCCGAATTCATGATAGAAGTAAAATAGAATACTGTCTAGTGAAGTGTGACTGCCTGTGTACTTAATCACCCTTAGCCACTGGGTGTCTAAAGGGACACTCCCCAAGATTATCCTCAGGATGACTCAGGGCATTTCCTGGAACAGGTGTGTTATCCTCTAGTGACAAGGCCTGGGAGACATTGCCACACTCTTTGGGAAAGAGCAGACATGAGTACGCACTTACCTTGGAGCTGACTGAGGGGTCCGGTCTCTGACTCCCAAATTCTTTGCTGTGTTCTGAACTCTTGCTCCCTAAAGGAAAATCACTTTTAGCTCTCCATTGTACCACTTAACATACCATTAAACTCTGAGTGTGAACAGTTATTCCAAAACTATATTTAACAATGAGAGAGACTGGGTGGAGAAGTAGAGAGAAATGACTATCTGAGAATTTTCAAAGTCAACGCTTCTAAGAATCAAAATATACCTTGTTATTTCAGATGATTAACAATTATTTCTGTAGCTACACATATCATTCAAAATCAGGTACGGGCTTCCTGTCACTACCTCATCTTGTCTGTGTTTAGTCTCAGAAACAATTAAAAACTAAAAATACTGAAAGCAGAAAGGAGCAAACTATAAATACCTGGTCTGTGTTATCACTTTCATATTACAAAATCCAAGTGATATCATAGTCTAATACCTTTTCCTTGTTAAGTAGATATTTTAAAATTAATTATATTGGCCAAGAAAATATTTCAAGTAGTTCTACAGTAATTTCTGGATCAGTCATGTCCAGATGACTTTTTGAAATTTAAAAATTTTTCTCTTGAAGGTTATAGTTAAAAACACAATCTTTATCCAAAGTCTCTATAGTCTTCCAAATTCATGAATGAAGTTATAATTATTGCTCAGTTCCTGATAAAATTATTTACTAGAGAGAACTTAAAACCAGGTTTTGTGACTTAGAATAGGTGAAGGAGGATTCCTCAAAATCTCTGAAATTCTTTCAGCTTCCAAATAGTGAACCAAGTTAAAGAAAGAAGAAAAAGAAGAAAGATCAAAGAATATATTCTCTCAATATGAATGCAACAAAAGAAAGCAAATAGAGAAAGAGAAAAGTAGCATAAAGATAGGAAGGAATTTACAACCTGTAAATCTACTTGAGGCAATTTGAGATTTTGAGGAAAGTTGCAAAAGCAGAGCAGGGATTATATAACTTCCCCTAATGTCAACCCTTCACTTAATCACAATACAGTGATCAAAACCAGGAGTTAGCACCGATCCAATATTCTTAACTTCACTGCATGTCTTACTCAGATTCCACCATTTTCCCCACTGATCCTCTTCTTCAATTCTAGGGCCCAATCCAGGATTCTGTATTGCATTTTGCTTTCAAGAATTTTTATTCTTCTGGGACAGTCCCAGCAGATCCTCGTCTTTTGTGACCTTAACACTTCTGATGAGTAGGGATCGTTATTTTGCAGAATGTTACGTTTTGGATTTCTGAGATGTTTTCTCAGGAAAAGAAATACATTTTGGTAAGAAAAACACAGAAATGATGTTGTGCTCCACCTGAGCATCACATAAGGGGGTACATAATATCAACATGTCTTATCACTTGTTACATTAATTTTGATTACCTGGCTAAAATTTTCCCACTATAAAGTTACCACCCTTTCTTTTAGACTTAACAAAGAAGTTGGGCAACATACTATGAGATTATGTGAATAAAAATCCTGTTTCTCTTTAGATTTACCATTTGAGCCTGCATTGGTGCATCTTGTTTGCAATAACAATATTTCTGTGTTTATGAACTAGAATTCTTCTATAAAGCAAATAAAAATTATTTAGTTATTGAGCCACATATTTAACTCAGCACGAACTCATTGATCTTATTCATATGTGATATGATCCAATCATTTTATGCCTCAAATTGTTCTAAATGTGGTCACTGGGTGCTCTTTCTGGTTGCCTCTTGTTCTTCTCGATATAAGCTCCTTCTGTTTTACTGCTTCCTTACTTTCTGTCACCTTGAGATGCTTCAGACTCACCTTTCCTTTCTCATCTGGTAACTCACCACTTCACTGAGGGTGGTGATTCTTTTACTGGAGAATTCTGTTTAGAAGGCAAGATTTTGATATCACCTGTATCCATTACTACTGCTTCTAGGCCTTTCTAGTAAATAGAAATAGTTTACTAATGCAAACATACACATCTATGCTCACATTTACATTTGTCTGCATCTACATGTGTCTTTGGGTGTGCATCTAACAGTTTATACTAGTATCAGTGATTGATGTCCAGTTCAAGGTTCATTCGAGATTCTAATCTTTTTCCCTTTCCTTATTTGTAATCTCTTTCTCTGGCTTCTCATAGAACTTTTTTTTTCCTTTCTTTTCTTTCAATCATACTGTACAGATACATTAGTTTTAGAATTTCTAAGTCATGCCAATAGTGAAAAACATTTACTAGCTAGAATGAAATATTCACATATAATTTGTCTATAATCTTATAAATTCCATTACATAACACAAAGATTTTTGCTTTTTAAAATCCGATGTCTGTCATACTGAACACATATATTGGCACATTTTACTTTGAATTTATCTATATAATCCTTTATATACTAAATATGCTAGATACTTACATTTTTACTCCCTTGTTCATACTGCTATCTCTACCTAAATACCTGTTCTGTCCCTTCCTCCCTGTGTTCATGATATTAATTATTCAAGGCTCACATAAAAAAATCATCTTAGTTTTCTAATAACTGGTCACTCACTATATCTTTTTAAGTGCCTCATGTATACTGATTTATTTAATCCTCACACATTAGAAGTCAAGTAATGTTTAGCAAACCTATTATATTAATGAGGAAACTAAGGAACAGATAAGTTCAATCTTGTTGCAAGGTATACAACTAATAAGCACTGAAGTACCCAAGATTCAAACTAAGTCTGCTTGTCTCTGAGCTCTTAACAAATACTCACTTTGTACACAACAGCTTTTCTCAGTTATACTATTTAAAACCAATTTCATTGAACAAGTACCATTTAGCATTTACACTGTACTAGGTACTATTCTTGGAAACAGGGACAGCAAAATGAGGGGCTCACAGCCCACTATTTGTTCCCTGTTCTATGTCTCGATACACTGAGGGTTACATGTCTTGGAACACTTGCTCATCAGTGGCAATTTCCCCACACAAGTGACTGACTTGAGACTAAGTCAGGACCTCACTGCTCCCATGTCTTCATCCTTAGTGACAGTATGATGCCTTGATAATGAATACTTCGAAAACTTAGTTTTATAAAAAGGTCAAGAAGAAATTTTTGAGTAGACTTCCACCAAAGATCACTTGGAATGCATCATAGATAGGATGGAAAGCTATGTTTATTATTCAATAACAGTTTCTACCTCAATTATTATCTCATCAGCTGGTTATGTTAAAGTGCCACTTCTATTTATAGAAAGTATATACACAAAATCTGCATATGAAAACAATACCACAATTATAAATAAGAACAACAAATAATGCCAAAAGCTTTGTTTTTAAAAACAAACAAAAGTTCATTACATTATTCATCAGCAGTATTCAATTTAATATATAGCAAATAAATTATTATAAATTACAGGAATTGAAATTTAATAATGAAATAATTCAAATATTTAATATATGGTAAACATGGCAAATATTCTGATCACTTAGTCTCTGGAAAGTGGAATATAAATGACTTAATAATTTTCCTGAGGTTGAAAGGCAAAAGGAACATAAAATCTAAGTGAGGTACTTGACTCAGATTTGTATTCCAACTGCTCAGATCCTAAGTGAGTAAGAGTTGGCCTGGGCACTCATCCAGCCACTATTCCTGCTGCAACTGCTGAATACTGAGAAGACTGGCGACAGAAGGACTATTGCAGAAATATTTGCTCTGTACCAGTCTGCTCAGTTTTCCAGAAAAAGGGTCCTACATGCTGTGATCTTTAACAAAGAAGTTATAAATTAGTTCACTGTTTGTCACAACCACGTGGGATGTACAACTTGGACCCAAGAAACTGGTAACAAAAGAAGAAATTACTATTACTAATGTATTTATTATTTAGAAAACAGGGGGAAGAAAATGATAAATACTATAGTTTAGATATAGAGAAAAATTTTTTTAAACAAAAACTGTGATTTTTTTTTAGTCCTTTAAATTATGTACCTCTTTAGTGGGCTATTGTAAGGAAAAGACAATTCTAGTCTATTTTTCTTGTTTCAGGCATAATTTTGAGACGATTCTTCCAAAGTCTTCTTGTGAATTTACTCTGAGGGCAACATGGTAAAACAGAGAAGTGCTTAATCTCTTTCTCTGTCTCAGGAACCCAAATCCCAAATCCACGGTAAATTTAGTTTGATTTATTTTTAAGGCAGAATTTGTACATCTACTCCCCACAAACCCATCCTAAACCCTTGGAAACTTGCACCTGTGTTTACTCTTTGACAAGTGAATGCTTTTGGTTGATCCAAACTTTCCTTAGCAAGTCCTTCCTACATCTTGGCTGTCCAGCCTCAGCTCCTGGGTTCTGACCAGAAGTGTCCATACACTTGTACTCCCTCCCTGTGTTCTTCTCTTCACTGCAGATTCTGGTTTGATGGTGGCATTTTCCCTGATATATTTTCCATTGGCTTGTTCAATAATACATAGTGTAATCTTGTGAGTAAGCCCACAGGGATTTATGTTTGCTTGAGAATTGAACATTATGGGGCGAGGAAGATAGTGGCTTGATAGGTAGCAGAGTAGAGAGCCTCGCTGAGAAAAACAACACAAACACTAGAATTTAACACCATGGAGAAGACCAGATGAAAGGAGAGGGATTCTCATGACCCAGGAAGAAACTGGGGAAAAAGAGAAAGAAAAAAAAAAAGGAAGAAAGGAAAAACGTGGACAAAAGGCTGGAACTAGATGCTCTCACTGGAGCTGGTCTTGTGCTATTCTGGGCATGCCTTGGAGTCTGACAATTCATGGTAGCGCTGAAGTCCTCAAAATTGAGAGTTGGTGAGTCCAGGGCCCTTGGTGGGAGGATGAGGTGCAAGGGAACCAATGTGGAGAGCTACATTAATCCATGGTGAGTGCTAGGAATTGGGTCCCGTGGAGGAAGTGACTGGCTGGATGACATATTGGAGTTGGGCAGGACAGGCCTGAATCCGGAACTGCAATGGTGTCAGTCAGCTGCTCCTGGCCCAAAGAGGATTGGTGGGATCTGCTTGGGTTGGGTCACGCCCCTGGTCAGGACCCAATACCCTGGGTCAAAACTGTCCCAAACTTGTGATGTCCACATGGCACAGACTAACATGTTGAAGACACTCGCCAGTTGACTGGCTCAGAGGAGAGGGGCCAGCCCACATCATCCCTGGGTGCATCTCAAATAACAGTAAAGTGGAGAAGGCAGAAATCCCTCAGCCAGCACACTTTAGCAAAATCATAAGCAATACGGAGAATGCCTGAGACCTCCACCATACACCTGTTTGAAAAAAAACAGAAACATGTTAAGAGAAAGAAATAAGAAAAAGCCTCCAGCTGCTGACCCTGGGAGAATAAGTCCAGGAGAGTAAATACAGAAGAGAGCGAGGATAGCAATCATGCAATATTGGCCACAGTATCAGCAGAAATAAAGAAATACTTTCATGACCTCATAGACAAACTTAAAACTGAAATTCTAATTCAAGTGAGGCAAGATACAAAAAGATTAATAAAAGAAATACTAAGCACCTTTAAGAAGATGCAGATGGAAGAATGGAGGAACCCAGAAAAAGGAGAGAAACCTTTGATGAAGAATATAAACATAATCTAGAATACAGGAAACAGAATCCAAAGAGATTACCAGGAAATTAAAAACTTCATTGAAAGCTGGCAAAATTCCTTGACAGAAACTAAAGATAGACTTTCAAAACTTGAAGATAGATTTGCAATGTGTGATTGTGAAAGAAAAGACCTCTTAAAAATAACAACGAACCAGAAGTAACAATACAAAGGCTAGAAGACAACAAGAAAATTTATAACTTAAGAATAAAACATATGAGCGAAGAAGCAGGAGTAAACACAAATGAATTACAAAGGCTATTCATAGAAATATTTAAGGAAAACTTCCCAATCATAGGAAAAAGAAATGATATTCAGATAAATGAGGTATACAGAACTCCAACCAACTACAACCAAAACAGATCTACACCCAGATATATAATAATCAAGATCCCAGAAATTAATCACAAGAACAGAGTATTAAAACTGGTCAGAGAAATGAAACAGTTCACCTGTAAAGGAAAATCCATCAAAATCACAATAGACTTCTCAACACAAACTATCAAATCAAAAAGAGCTTGGAGCAAAGTATTCCAAGCCCTGAAAGAAAATAACCTCCAACCCAAATTGATGTACTCTGAAAAACTGTCTCTCAAAATAAATGGAGAAACAAGATGTTTCCATGACAAAGAACTGTGGGAGTTCATGACCATCAATCCAACCCTACAAAAAATACTGAAGTACATTCCAGAAAGAGAGAAAAAAATACCAGGATTCCAGCAACAGTCGCAGAGAGGCCTCAATGAATGGGGCAGACAGTGGAATGAAGGAAAAAAGTAGACAATCAACAGCAGAAAAATAGCATAGCAGAGATGAGGCAGATAAGACTGGCTATAATCCCTAACACAGATGGCCTTGATACACTAACAAAAAGAAACACAGGCAGAGTACATCACGAGATAGGGTCCACTCAAGATGCTCCAAATAGGAAATATACTCAACCTAAAAGAGGGTTAATAAACCAAAAGTCAAAGACGAGAAAATGATGCTCCACGTGACAGGGAACCAGAAAGGAAAAGAGACAGCTGCAGATAGGTTGGAAGGTCATGACACTTTTGGGCAGTGGAGACTCAGCTAAGGAAGGAAAACCTTGAGGCTTTAGTCGGTGTTCAGCTCAAGATCAAGCTCAGGGATAAAAAGGTTCAGCACCACTTAGGTAGATAACGGGTTGCCCCCTAATCTAAAAACTAAAGGAGTTAGTGGGACCCAAAATGTACAAAGCACCCTGAGAAAGGGAAAGGGGAGGAATTGTTTAAAAAAAAGAAGGCAGAGGACATTATTAATAGTGTATCCAGATTTAAAAACCACATTAGTCTTACTGCTCTGTTTAGTTTGATTTTATTCTGTTCCAGTGTCTCTACTCATAGTAGATTTGAGGGCTCAGATGGCTATCCCCAAAATAGCAGGATATACTACAGGAACTATTCTTAATTTCCTATTAACTTAAACTGAAGCTCTGTATTATTTACATTCTTATTATGACTGATCTTATTTGAATCTGGTTTATTAGATCATTGTTTTAGCCTGATTTTATTCAAATTTGGTATGCTTAATAGTATCAGGTCTAAGAGTAGAGGCAACTACTCTGAAGATGACAAGATGCAACAGGATACCCATTCTGGTTTGAGTATTAACTGCTTTTGAAGTCCTACAATGTCTCCAGTGTTGTGTTTTTATTAATATTGCTATGTACCGCTATCTTCAATTATATTATGCCTGATGATATAGACAATTCTATTGAAAAAACAACAGACATCATAGTAACTACTGTAGATCACCTAGTATTGTGGTTTTTACATGTGTTTTTTATTTCATGTTTTTCTAAAAATTTGTTTGGTTGTCTTGTTTTGATCTGTTTTTCCCTATAATACAGAAAGGATGTGTATACACGTAGTGATTCATGCATGTGTAGAATAGTTTACAAGAATAGATTATATAATGCATGATTAATGAACAGATGCTCTGAAGAGACACTAAGATAACCACTGCTAATTCTGTAGCATTATGATATAAAATCTAGCAATACTATTATTCTCTTTTCAGAGTGACATTTCTTTTGTTTAATTTCAACATACATAAAGATATGGGCAGCTATTTCGAAGACAATGAGACATTATGGCAGCCATTATTGATTCCCCTATTGTCTGGTTTTGAAGACCTAAAATGACTTCATCATCCTATTCTGATCAATTTAGTACTATTGTTCAGTATGTATTCACTGTGTGTGAAGATATGGACAACTATTTGGAAGAAAACAAGAGACATTATGATAGTGAAGATCTCTGGTGGTCTTGCTTTGAAACTGTGTTTCTTAAATTGTTTTCTTATGATCTGCTTTATTCTGTTTAATTTTACTATTTAAAAAAAATTTAAAAAGAGAATTAAACACTATGCTGGCCTCTAATAAATAAAGTAATCATAATTATAATCAATCCAAGCCAGCAAATAGATGGAATAAAACACAAAATTAATACCTTTCAATTTTTATACACTGTGTTTTTTACTAGATTAAATCCATTTATGAATCAGCAATTTGTACATTTTTGGTACACAAAAGCATTGTAAGGATAAAGTGTAAGCTGTTGCACTTAAAATGCTCTTGTGTTACAGTACAGAAATTCTACTTTTGTAGAATTCTACTTACAGTAAAGAAATTCTCTCATTCTCCTTGTGAAGGCATAGTCTCATCTATAAGTATTTCAGTATACTAAAGACAGTCCAGAGCCTGCTATCCTTCCTCTGAAGGAGAACTTGAGGTCAGTGCTTTATCCTCAGAACAATGTGCGCACTTAGCCTGGGATAGGGCAGACTGCAGCAACAAAGCTCTCAATTCCTTCTCCTTCCTTGCCACTGCCCTTCTCCCAGTCTACTTATAGAACTTACTAAATCATTTACAGTTCCCAGAAAACACACATGACCTTCATCTTGTGTCTTACAAATCCATTTCTGTCCCATGTGCCTGTCTTGTCCCCTTTACTCTTTTAGGTTACTGATATCTTTTTTTCAGGGTTGTACAAGATCTTTGGGGAAAAATAAACATACAAACACAACAAAAAACCCAAACAAAAAAACATGATCCTTGGAGAATGCTCCTGTATGCGTCCATTTATGTTGTCATTGGGCACGCTTCTCTTCATGACTTACCTGGCAGTCATGTGCCTAAAACAGTGCCCATCACATTTTGGCACCTTTCAGATACCTGATAAATAAACAAAAGAACCTTTAACAGCTCCTTTAAAATAACTCCCCTAAAGTATACAGGAGACTTACCTGTTTCCTCATGACATCGGTGGCCTGCATAATATAGCGGGGCGGCAGCCCGTGGCTTCTGGCTAGAATGATGGCCTGCTCCAGCGTCACACTCAGGGTGCACCTGTGTGGCAAGGCAAAGGCGAGTCAGACCCCACTGGTTTCCAGCAATGCCCGCTGAGATTGTTTGGCTTACTCATTTCAAAATCCAAAATCAGCCCCAAATCAGCCTTGTCTACAGTGGTTAGACAAGGATCCGCTGACTTTTCTACATAGAATACTTGGTTAAGGTTATAGAGGAAAGTTACTGAAACTGTAAATTAAGAATTTAAATTTAAGAGTAACCTATAATAAGCTAGATTCATAAGAAATATTTTCCATAGAAAATTAAATAAGTGGAATCAATAAATTGTATTAAATATTATTTATTGATACTTCATACAGTTTAGAAGGAATAACTTAAAAATATTTATTTCTATACATGGATAGTCAGACTTTTACTTTTGTATGTATTCTTAGAAAAATAAACAATGAAATTACTGTTACAAAACTGAGATTTCATTTTAAAAATATGATTCTTGGATCTGATCTAAAAAACTTTCTGTAAAGTTTCAGAAAAAAAAAAGCCTGGCTATTAGTTGTACGGCGATGTTGCTATGGTTTGTGTCTGGATGGTCTCCCCAAAGCCTCAGAGGTCAGAGCTGAGGCGTTTGGAAGGTGACGGGATCCTGGGCGCTGTGCCTGCAGGGATTCATCTGCTGAGGAATCTGCAGCTGAATGTGCTGCAGGGATGTGGGCTCTGGTTGGAAGACGTGGGTCCCTGGGATGTGTGTGACCACAGAAAGTCCATCTCTCTCCCCGGTTCCTTCCTTTGCTCTCTGCTTCCTGGCTGCCAAGACATGAGCAGTTTTTCGCCACCGGTTCCTTCTATCATACCTTGGAGCCAGCCAACAATGAGCTAAAAATGTGAGTCAAAATAAGCCTCTCCTCCTTTTGGGTGTGGTTCAGGTGTGTCATCCAGCTATGGAACAGGGGCTAAAACCAATGTGGTACCCTGAAAGGTATGTTCTAACCAGCAGTAAAGGACTCGTCTTTATTCTTGCCCTTCCCTCTAAGGCATTTCTTTTATGTTCTGCCACGTTTTTCTCCATAGCATCTCTTAGGCCCTATTTTTAGTTGTTAATATTTTTAGGCAATGATCTCTGAATTGGATTTTTATGGGTAGTTTTTGCATATATTTCAAATGCTCATCAATCTTAAATGTTTTTCTGAAAAATTTTATTAAGTTTTGTTATTCTTCCTTATTTTGAGTTACTGTAGTTTGATGTCTTGTCTCTGTTTGTGCACTGACCTCCCTATGGTTTGGTGTTCTTATATATTTTTCTAGATCTACTTACTATGTCCTTTTACAAATAAAGAGAATGAATAACAAAAACAATACCATTACTCTTAGGTTAGGATTATTTAACTCATAATCCATACTTTATGAGGCTGTAACATACAAGTGTAATAATTCAGTAGATTGTAGTGAATTATGATAAAGAGAAACATTTAAAAATTATGGTTATAATATTAGAAAGAAATTGGAAAGTTAGGACCATTTTACAACACCTAATTTATATAGCTACATTCTGAGGAGAAACATGTTAAATGATTTGAAAAGCAATTTCCTCATTACCATTATAGAAAATTCTTTTGAGAGCTTTAATAACACATGTTCATACAGACTAAAATTTTGTAATTCATTTTAGATTTACATGATGTTCACAAGTATTTCACATACGAGTAGGCTTATATGTATGCCGCACAACACTATGCCAGTGAAGACCAAGTAGCACAATTGACAGTTCATGCATAAAAAAAAAAAAAAAATCAATCTTCTACAAAGCATTTAATTGCCTCCTGATTACTCAACAGACCATAACCTTTTCCCTCCATTAGGTCTCCCCTACTCCAATTTTAAATCTTTATTGATATTAACATTTTAATCTATAATGCTTATTATACCAGTTGAACTAAGAAAAAAAATCTCTGTTTTGTTCTAACCAGGCTGGAATATGCCTGTGTTTTCTTGATCAAGTACAACTTGCCCTACTCTATTTATAACAAATACACTCTGTGGGTTTTTTTGTTTTCTTTCTTTTTTTTTTTTTACAGGCAACATATAATTTTTATTCATTTTCTTAATCTTTTTAAACTGATTTATTCTCCCTTTGTTCAAGTTTTGGTAAACAGCAGCACAACACCAAATTAACTGCGAGAGACATTAAAAGACCTTTATAACAATTGGAAAATCATAGAGCCATATCAGTATCATGCTTGCTGAGACAGTGCCTCAAAGTGTCACTTTTAAAGAACCAATCACATATCACTTAGAAAACTACCTGCAAACAGATATGGATTTTTTTTTCTCAACATATTCAAAAAGGATGGCTCTGCATATATTTATTTCTTCATACTAACTACTATTATATATAACCCAATTAGATCCAACACTGATTTAAAAGTTTTATAACGTGACAAATTTTGAACAAGAAAATCATGGAAATATTTGAAACACTGCCTCTATTTAATTCATGGCTAATGGATTCAGTAGAGGCTTAGAATCACAGAATTCCACCATCCTAAATGGGCCTATGAAAGAAAACCAGCGCTAAGTCCACAACTTTGCTATCACATGCTTCATAATTTTAGCTCCTTTCAACTATCTCAATCTCAATGCCAAGCGGAAAATTCGAGTATTCACAGGAAGCATTTTGATTTTTGGCACTGTCTAAAAGACTTCAGGTCCAGAATGCGGCATATATTTTTCGACAGGACATAAATGTATGCTCAGAGTTAGGATCCATGAGAGATGATTTGATTTTATAGGTACTTTTACTTACCAGAGTGACTGGTCCTATAACTTTAGGCCAAGAAAGTGAAAGGAGCATTCTAAGATCAGGAAATATAAGGAATTTCTACTCAGTATGTTTCCTGCCTCATCACCCAATATCTTTTCTAGAAAGGACACGTAAATTGAAATTTAAATCGGTTTACATTTTCATCCTATCTGAAAAATATGGGCTTTCAAAATGTTCAGCTCCTTGTAGCTGTTACATCATTAGTGCTTTTAGACAACTTCCCCAGAGGTCATAAAAAACATATTCATTGAGCAAAGTGATTCCATAATTTCAGTGATGAGACATTCCAATTACTGACTTGTGAGGAAATGCACTTTTGGAGTGTCACAAAGAACTGTTAAATTCCGCAAAGAAAGCCAATAGGAGGAGCCAATATATCTGTACTTATGGTTAATAAATCTCCTTGACACATTTTGTATTGAGAACAGATAACTCAGACAATTAGCACAGATTTAATATGATAAATATAACCTATAAGCTAATGGGTCCAATTTAATTAGAACGATACTTAGCAATTCTCTGGAAGAAACAAAAAGAAGTATTTTTCCATTCATTCATTCATTCATTCAATTATTTGACACATTTTTTTGATATTTATTTTGCACCTACAGATACCACTTGGGGCTGGCAGAATGTATTCACTGCCAAGCTGAAAAAGCTTGAATTTCAGGACTCTTTGCTTGTATAGATCTTTTTTAAGGTTCTGAAAGGGGCCTTAGCAATGTGTTCACACAGTAGCATGTGTTTACAAATCTGCAAAAGCAAAATGCCTCAACTGAAAAATATTAGAGTTATGGTCTTTTTTATATTCTAGTGTCTTCTGTCTTGATGGGTAGTACAACTATTTCTGGAATTGAGCTGAAGGAAATTCAGTTAGAAACACATTCAGAATACGTTTGTTGAGATCTGTGTAAAGGATATACAGTTACTGTCAATTATAGTTAGGTTACTGTGAGTTCTGGTGTAGTAATGGCTCCCAGAATGTCCCTACTCCCCACTGCACAATCCCATGTTAAGAAGGAAGGCTGGGCCAGAGATTATGATGCGATATGCCCACCTGCTGGGATTCCCAGGCCTGGAGGTGGGCCTGGTGAAGAAACACATTTGAAATGCATAAAGCAGAAGTTTCTATGGAGAATAATCTTCTAAACATTATGGTCCATATGTTAAAGAATCTCACAGGCATTTTTTTTTTGTATTTGAGTATAATTTAAAAACACACAAGCCATTAGCAATAATGCATTTTGAGGTTGAAAGGGTTTTCTCAACTTTCAGTGATTTAAATTTGATCACTCATGCTAGAGAAAAGATAGAATAATTTTCTTATTATCTTTAATAGAAAGTTATGTTTCAAAACTGTTATAATTTGAAGAAGCAATCAAAGGCAATGTTACTAAAAATGTTAGGAGAGTCAGGCAGTAATAAAATACTGTTATAGATTTTATGCTTGAAATTATTAGCATTATAAACCTTACAATTTATGTTTTGGCATTCTGGATAAATACTAGTTTGAGTTTCCATTTTTTTGGTAATTTTCTATTCTTCTTTTTAAAGAGGGCACTTAATTTCTGATTCTAGTCTCCATTTTTCCAGTGAGTTAGGTTTGTACCCGTGAACAAAGCCAGGTCCCACTCCTTTTCGTAATCAAATTTTTGTGAGAAGAAAAAGAAAATAAAGAAGCAAAATAGTGCATGAAGTGGACATAAATTATCCAGGAAAGTTAATTTTGTATATAAGATGGAACAGTGTTAAAATGGGGGAGGAATGTAGAGGGTGGTGCTGTTTTTAAGAAAATTATTTCATGAAGAGGAAGTTTCAAGAGCCTGAGATTAATACTTGTTTGATTTGCTCACAAATATGGAATTCAACACACTGATGCACACAGAGAAGAAGGTAATGCGGTTTGGGAAATAACTTGAGCCACAATATTTGTGACTTTGGAGGTCAGAGTGTAGGAGTAAGCAGTCTTCTTGTTTATTTCTTTGGTTGATACAAAAAAGAATTTTGACCTTTATATCACATGATATAAAGGAGAAATTTGTTATGCAACTTATTAAATAAATTTACTAAGTCAACTTTAAAATCTTACCAATATTATATTCAAAATGCTTTCACTTGCATTCCAGTGGCATCATTTGCAAAAACAAACTGTTCATCATGATGCTTAAGATACCATCTTCCACCAATCCCTTGTGTATGTATACTTTAGTTTCTCCACCCA